TTGTGTCACCAGATCTAAGTGGTGGCAATGGTCACCGTATCCACTGTTAGCGTAACACACCCGCTTTAAGGACACTGACTGCTATTCAATCTATAACAGTGAAAAAAGTGTTTTTTGTTTTTAAACACAAGCTTTGTGTCACCAGATCTAAGTGGTGGCAATGGTCACCGTATCCACTGTTAGCGTAACACACCCGCTTTAAGGACACTGACTGCTATTCAATCTATAACAGTGAAAAAAGTGTTTTTTGTTTTTTAAAACAAGCTTTGTGTCACCAGATCTAAGTGGTGGCACTGGTCACCGTGATCCAATTGTTAGCGAATACACCGCTTTAAGGACACTGACTGCTATTCAATCTATAACAGTGAAAAAAAGTGTTGTTTTTTTTTAAATCCAAGCTTTGTGTCACCAGATCTAAGTGGTGGCACTGGTCACCGTATCCACTGTTAGCGTAACACACCCGCTTTAAGGACACTGACTGCCATTCAATCTATAACAGTGAAAAAAGTTTTTTGTTTTTAAATCCAAGCTATTGTGACACCAGATCTAAGTGGTGGCGCTGGTCACTGTATCCACTGTTAGCGTAACACACCCGCTTTAAGGACACTGACTGCTATTCAATCTATAACAGTGAAAAAAGATTATTTTTTTTTTAAATCCAGGCTTTTGTGGCACCAGATCTAAGTAGGCACTGGTCACCAGAGTTCACTGTTAGCTAACACAGCCGCTTTTAAGGACACTGACTGCTATTCAATCTATAAATAGAAAAAGTGTTTTGTTTTTAAATTTCACAGTTTTGTGTCACCAGATCTAAGTGTGCGGTGGCACTGTCAATGTGATCCACTGTTAGCGAACACACCCGCTTTTAAGGACACTGACTGCTATTCAATCTATAACAGTGAAAAAAGTTTTTTTTAAATCCAAGCTATTGTGTCACCAGATATAAGTGGTGGCACTGACTGGGGAAATGGGCACAGTATGCACTGTGAGCCTGACACAGAAGCTGGCAGCAGTGGCAGACAACTGACTGCTATTCAATCTATAACAGTGAAAAAAGTTTTTTGTTTTTAAATCCAAGCTATTGTGACACCAGATGTAAGTGGTGGCACTGACTGGGGAAATGGGCACAGTATGCACTGTGAGCCTGACACAGAAGCTGGCAGCAGTGGCAGACAACTAAGTGCAATTACATTACATAGAAAAAAAAAAAAAAAAAAGCATACCCTTATCCCTAACCTAGCTATGCTTTTCCCTATCTTATGAACAGCAGCTACACTTTCCCTCCTCTTACTAAGCATGCAGCTTGAGAATGAATCTAAAATGGATGCCTTCCAGGAGGTGGGAGGGTCTGCTAGGGAGGGTGTGCTGTTAATTGGCTGGAATGTGTCTGCTGACTGTGAGGTACAGGGTCAAAGTTTACTCAATGATGACGAATAGGGGGCGGGTCGAACCGCGCATATGTTCGCCCGCCGTGGCGAACACGAACATGCTATGTTCGCCAGGAACCGTTCGCCGGCGAACCGTTCGGTACATCACTAGTGGTCATCTTTACTCGCATCCATATGCAGCTTAGTAGTGCTTTCATCGCCTGCCGAGTGCACAAGAGGATCACCTGGTCCACGAGGATCAGCAGGTCGGCACATCAGCACCCGAGCCCAGTCCAGTGTGAAAGAAGATGCCTGGTCGCCACCCAGCCCTCCAACTTCAGGATAAATAACCTGTGAGGTTCTGGGAACGGTCCCACTGGGTCGTGGGCGGCTGTTTGGCATGCCATCCCTCCTGGCTCACGGTCCCAAAGGAGAGCACAATGCTGGGGCACCTCTGGAGATCACCTCCTTCTTGGGTAAGGTGTGTAGTAGAGCCCTCTGCCTTGATTCAATCCGACTCCAGAAGGATGCACAGAGAACATCAAAGGCTGCATGGAACTTAGCTTCCCAGTGTGGTCTTGATTGCTTCGTCGGAGTGGCAGCCATCTTAGGTGTGACACGAGGGCTCATCTTGTCAGGGTGAGTAGTGGCCATTTAGCCTTGTGGGTTACTTTAGCTTTTCCCTGGTGGGGACTGGGATAACCCCCACCGGTCCAAAAGGGGGGGAAACGGGGCTGTAGATATAAGGTGCTCACACGATGATAGCTCCAGGCCGGGAGATCGGCCTCATCTCCCCGCCACAGAACCCCCAGAACAGATAGGCCGCAGGACAGCCTGTAGTCACAGGCTACTACAAACCTGATCGGGTAAGCTCCCTGATGTTCAGGAACAGGTAAGTGTTCAGTGGGCATCCTCCAAAGGCATTCTTCCCTCAGTAGGTCTTATTTTACAGGCTGTATGCAGGGAGCTCACTTCATACACGTCTGTCCGCCATGCTGGCAAGGCCCCCCCCTCCCCATACCTCTTTCTTTTTACGTCCCAAATACCTGTCTCTCTTTTCTATGCTGGTGTCCCTCTGTTTGTAGGAGCTCCATGCTTTTGTTGTGTCTTAGTGTAATACATACCTTTACAGCTGTACAATGTACAGTAATTCATAAACTAAACTACAACTATGTGACTGAATAAGTAAGCCTTGAAGTCCCCAAAAAGTCCAGAATAACTCCACACCTGGCCACACTACTAGTCACACATCCTAGAATAAAAATATCCCACTTTGGCCATTTGAAACATTGGAAGCTATACCTCAATAGGAAATACATACATTGACATACAGTGAAATCAGGAGAGAACTGAATAAAGCAAAACAATTACTTGGAAAAAAAAACCTCACAAACCTATATTAGCTAACTGAAATAATTACTCCAGTAAACCAATAGTTTTCGTTTGTAATTTAATTTTACATGTTTAACACGTGCATATTATTTGCCCAGGTGTTTATTATTTGTTGCATAGTAAAATAAATTTAGAGAAGACTTGTCTCAATTACGTTCCACCTTTTTTGTCCTCCGTTCGATGCCTTTTGAGAGCTTGGCAGTAATTTCTATTCAGTTGTTTACCGTCTCTCTTCTTCCTTTAATAGTCAAACTTTTCAGGCTCCTGAACTTTAATAAATGTCCCTTCACAATTCAGATAATGTCAGATCCGCCACGATTCACAAACTGAAAGGTCTCTGTTCGTTGCCAGTTTGATGTAACCAAAATGTGGTTCTTGGGATCGATAGGGCCCTTCACACTGCCACCATTGCTTTTTGCATTGCCCCCTCATTATCTTTATGGCCCCCCCACCCACCGCGCAGGGGTGGGGGCCGGGGGGGGAGGACAATAGGTCCCCCCCTTATTGTTATTTAGGGCCCCCATCCGGGGGCCGGATAGTAGGGTTGTTTTTTTTTTTTTTAAACTGTGAGCAGCCACAGGCTGCTCACTGTTTAGCAGGCATGCCCCTACTCGCAGTATAGCGAGTAGGGGCATTGGGGAGATTTTAATCTCCCTTATGCTATTATGGGGGTCATATTGACCCCCGTAGAGTGAGAAAGGACATTGGGGGTTTTGGAAGTGGTGGGAAGCACAGCTCCCTGCCTCTTCTATCTTTACATATTACAAGGAGGGAGCTGCTCGCCGGTAGCTCCCTCCTTGTAATAAACTGAACGAACAAACAAACACTAATATTCGGTGTTAGTTTGTTCGTCTGATATTTCTATTCATTAATTCGTCTTTCTCACGAATTAATGAATGGAAATTCACATTCGCATGTCCAAGTGTTTCACTGGGCATATGCGGGAATCTCACAGTGTTATCTAGTGTGGGCAGATGACGTGTCCCACAGGGACTTCCTCTACCCACACAAAGATGGCGGCGCCCTGAATATAGATCGGGGCAGAAAATAAAGATTACAATGGGTAATATGGGGGGCTTAGGGGCATTTGGGGATGACTAGGGGGTCAGTTAGATGTAGTGGAGTCAGGAGGGGGGTTAAAAAAAAAAAAAAACTGGATTCGGCCATGACAGTGCAGCTTTAAGCTGTAGTGCTTCTGGTGTCTATAGTGTCCCTTGAAGAATTGTATTTTGGGTGTTCAAAAACCTGGCTCCTGGCTTTTTTAGTTGGCTCCTAGATTCCAAGCAAATTTGTCAAGCCCTGGACTACACTGTCCCTTTAAGTTTGTATACAGTTTGCTCTATAAAAAAAAAAAAAAGAAAAGATACAGCAATATTTTGACATTAAGGACAGTGTCCACATTATTCACTAAACATTATTGCAGCAAATTAAAATCTGAATGGTAAAATTTAGACAACAATTTGTGGCTATAACGGAGTGGGGGATTTTTCAAAATCGGCTAATACTGATTACATTTTGCAATTCAGATTTCAAATTTACTACAATCAGAGTTCACTTAATAAACCCTACAGATGTATCTGTTGAATACCAAGCTTCCACTGAGATATTGATCTTGAACTTTTAATTTTTTTTTCAAAATGCTTCATTAAACCATTTGTGTTGTTAAATTACAGCCCACACAAACATACAAAAAAACACTTCAGAGGAAAAAAAGTTTTAAAATGAAACTTTGAGCGTTTATTTCTCAATACCATGTTGTTTTTTGTGAAACATTTCTTTTACAAAAATTCACACAACCAGGAGAATCATGATTGACAATTACAATAATATTGAAGCTGTCACGTAAAAAAACAAACTAAAAACGCGTTGGCCAAGCACAACTGTGACGAACAGTTACAAATGTCACTTAGCCTCCAATAGGAGGAGCTCTAAAGCACACCACTGCTTGAGCAAGCAGCACTAAAATTTACTGCCATCTTAATGTGCCGCGGTGAGAGAGGGCTCTGCCATTTTGTATAGCCATAGAATTTAACCACAGAGACAGGACTATATACAAATTGTACACCTGTACATATTTAAATCCTTACATTTCTAACTGCAGTGACACACTTTCAAGGAGAGTACCGGTATCGCTATATTCACTAATTAGCTCGTCAAGGTGAGTTATCCTTTATTAAGGGGTAACTTGAATAATATCTGCAAGTTGCTTGGTTTAAAGTCACCAAAGTATGCTTTTGTGACTTTAGTGTGACAAATGTGGTAAAAATGTGGTAAAAAGCAAGCCCCCGTCACTTCATTTTCTTTTAAATGCTATGATAAGTAGGTAGGAGTGTTGATACCTCACAGCATTCCATTACTGGCTAACGTCCATTCTAACGTGGCCCTATCAATAAGGTCATTAGAGCCATTAACATTTATTTAGCATCCATGGAGGTGAATCATGACCATCTACGTGTTTGAAATATAAAATCCTTCCCAGAATGCATTGTTTTTGCCCACATATGCATCTGCTTACTAAACTGCAATGTAATAGCGAATGTAAGGGATGTTTCCCCTCGACCAAAAATATCCTTGAAATCGCAGAACGAACATATTCATTATTAAAAATATGATGTACATTTAAATAAATCTAAGGACCTTGATAAGCACTTTGAACGAGCTTTAATTACATTTCACAGAGCTCTGTCTCATTCAGATCCTGGTTTAGTAAGTTGTAATTATGAACATACATGTATACATAGATATATATCGCATTTATACAAGGGATAGAATAAAAATGTTTAAGCGCTAAATGTTTTCTTTATAAATTTTATCTGTAGGATTTTATCAGAAAATTAATCAGTGCAACTGAAATATAAGATTCTGTTATGGCTTCAACAAAAATTACATAAAATGAAAATAGCGTGTAGAAGTGTGTGTGTGTGTATATATATATATATATGTGTGTGTATATATATATATATATATATATATATGTGTGTGTGTGTGTATATATATATATATATATATATGTTTTATTTTTCAATACACTGTGGGATTGGCTTATTTTCTATAGAATGATATACAGAAATAAATGAGCTAGTTAACTATCCAGTCATTTTACAATGCTTATCAAATTGCTTAGATTAATCCACATATTTTAGCAAGCCACTTTATTCAGTTGGCGTTCATTGTTTTTTTATTTACACATATGTACACTTTGCTGTATAAATATCACAAATACTTATCTGTATCATTCTCATAAGCCGCAGCATTAAGAATTTCAGTATTTTTTTTAGCTTTGTAGGAAATCGTAAGCTCTCTAGGTTACTTCATCACATCATAATAACTGTGTTTAATGTGATTCTTCTAGTTAATGGCTTAATTGGAGGCTGAATGGATTTATTTTTTTTGTAAATAAAAATACATAGCGGGTAACTATAAATGTTTATTGCATAGTGCTTAGAAATATATTGGCATATGGTTTTGGCAGTGTGTGTGTATATAATATGGCAGACTCCGAAGGGCCATCAAATTACCTGCTGTGATGTTTAAGCAAGATAGAGAGAGTTTAGGGAACCGTGTCCAGGGTATTCAGCCGGGATTCAGGATTTGGGATTAATTAATTTTGTTTCAGTGGGGATTTCAATTGCAGCATTTTGGGATTTTTTTGCGATATAAAAAGTAGGAACTGTAGAAATGGTCTACAATTTGCTATATAATGCTTTTCAAGAAGTTCGGAGAAACAAAATATATTTAAGAAAAAAATGTTTATAAAATATATTAAAATTTCATGATCTTGTTATGATCCATGTACCTGGCATGTATGTCCGTATAAATCTGCCTTTCTTTAAAATCTTACGTATATAACTCATCACTTACTGTTCAGACATTTTGGGGGAGTAAAATGGATTCCATTAAGAGATGAATGGAGAGAAGTGTTGTTCGGCCTTGTAGAGCATAATTTTATTCTATATGGGAATAGTGAGATTAAAAACATCAGGTGATGTGGTGGTTCCATTGCTACTAGGAGTGAATGCAATACTCATGAAACATACAATACTTTTACATATAAATACAGACACAACATGGAAGTGATGCGTTCACTAAATAGTGAATTGCAGTAAGTTAGAAACAAAGTAATTATATTTACAAAAAGAGTCATGTTTGGGGGATAAAGCTATTCTGAGTTTAGTCTCCGTTAAATTAACATTTGTACTTTGTAGGGTTTACCGTTTTTTGTTTTTTTCCGGTGTTCACTGCAAAATCCCAATTTCTTCTATAGCACGTTATTAGGTTGTAGTATACATTATTTTAACAAAGAGGTTTGAAGGGACAGCTCAATTTATACAAGGATTTCATAAGGTAGCACCTAAAATTGGTTATAATTCGGAACGGGAGAAAAAAATATGAAGGGGAAAATCAAATGCATGTAGGATCAGTGCAAGCCAATTGTTAACATCTTAGATGTATTTATTTAGCTTTGTGTCACTGGGAGTATACCCAAACTCGCAGGATATGGGAAACCCAAAAAGGAGAGGCAATATTAGACGTATCACCGGACTTAACGTAATAAACAGAGAC